GGCTTTACATGGAATACCAAGGACAGCAGTGACCAGACTCTCAATAGTCCAGTTTGCTATTTGGCTACCAATACTCTGGTGGAGGGGACTGACACCTCCCGGCCTATGAAGAGTAAGTACACCGCATGGATCATCGGGAACCACCAAGTTCGAAAATTATACACCCCCGTGGCCGAGACTGCCTAGGTACAGATCCTAGCCAGTACTTCGCAGAGTACTCTACGTCGACCCCCGGGGGGAAACAATGATGTAAACAAAACCAAACGGTGTGCGGACAGTGATGTGAGAAAGACACACAGACAGGAATAGGGGTGGGAAACAGAGAAAAATAGCATTCGCAACCGTATTCGAAAGAAAGAGGGAGAGAGAACTTTGAATACTCATTTAATTTGCTCAAACGAATGAACGTAATTCCTCTGATTGAATTACTTGAAAATGCAGTCATAGTACTCTTACGTTGGTTAAGCCGTTGTTGTTGTGACGTCTTGTCTGACAATGACATCAGAACAAGTCCACGAAATTCATCGTGGCAAGGAGTGCGACACTGCGACTGTCGTTGGCGAGAACCTTGAGCACCATTCAAGTGGCAATTCGCCCCCAATTTTGATGGAGAGCACCCCGAGGGCGGAGCCAAGAATCTCCCACCCTCTTTCTCTACCACCAACCTCTGAAGAGGACTTTTGGCTGGCCAAATTTACCCATGCCGCACAGACGCTATACACAAGCATGCATGGCTTCTCTGGGATTCGAACCTGGGCCCTTTGATACGGCAGTTACGGTCGCTAACCACAGTCCCGATTGCTAATTAATTTATTCAATTGGCTATAAAACGCACTGGAAAAAAGAAAAAAACTTAACAACTAGAGAAAAACATATTTGTATATGCATTTTTTAAAGCAAAAAGAAACTCTTTTTTTTTTTTTTTTTTTTTTTTTTTTACTTTTTTGTACGAAGTAAAGAAAGTGCTGTAATTGCGAAAAATGCGGAGTATCATATTTTAAAGGACATTTAAGGAAATTTTGATCATTCCCGCATCCATTTGAACGATATTATATATATATATATATATAATCTTTTATTTGCTTTGAGTACTAATGCATGTAGGGGAAATATCTGAACACCTGAGACTATTTCAAGATTTCTTTTAAATTGTAAACAACGGAAAAGTGGCTTAAATGTCTCAAATGTCTCAGAGGAACGAAACATGCATTCGGAACTTATTAATTAACTTGATTTAAGGCTTCAAACACTTTTCTTTTGGCAAGTTCTGTTTGAAGCGTTGAACAGAAGAGATTAATAGTTGACGGAATTTCTTTCAATTTGTGTTTCGTTCAATTTCTGTAATTATCTTTTAAAATTCCTTTTTTTTTTTTTTTTTTTTTTTTTTTTTTTTTTGTTACCCTTTTTTCACGTTTACTCTGTTTCTGTAACCGTTTATCAGAGAATGAAATACGATGACCTTTAAATTTTTTTGGAACTAAAATTAGTATAAATTACGTTACGACTTTTCAATTCATTACCAATTTATTATTATCTTGCAGCTTTAGCGCAGACGCGTGTCTTTCTTATTTTAAAGTTACTGGATCAATTATGACTACTTTTAGAGTCATAATTGATGCAGTAACTTTAAAAAATATGTGCGTGTCATTCTGTCTTGCCTCTCTGATTTGGACTGGAGTCTAGTGAGAGTTTGGGGAGTTCTTGATTTCGTTTTGTGTGTTTTAAATGGGTTCTTCAAATGCATCTTGATTCATTGGATTTTCTGTTTAGGGGTTAACATTGGAGTGGAATTTTTTTTTCACTTTTGTTTTTCACTTTCGTTTCCGGTTTTTTTTTCCGGGGGATGGAGTTCTCTTTATTTGGGATTCTTCTGGTGTTTCTCAATGGAATTTATTTTTTCCCCTTGAATTGGGGAAGGGCCAGAATTTTCGGGTGTATTATTATAATTATAATTTAAATACATTGAAATGGTTCATTGGCTAATTCTGGATACAGATAAGCAAGGATTTTTGTAGGAGAGAGATTTCAATTAATGTGATTGAACTCCTCTTCTGTGTCTGTTAATTTTTCTTTAAATTTCATAATTTTCGAAGAGGGGTTTTTGCTTGTTTGAAATGTTTTGGTTTTAACATTTTTAAATTTATTGTTGCATGTCTATGATTATTTTAAATTTATTAATTATGAATTTCAATTTCTGGTCTTTGTGAAACATTAGTTCTAAATTTCTTACTTTATGCCTTTAATGATAATTTTTTCTGCAGCTTAATGCGCGAAAATAACAATGCATATTTGTGTTTTGTTTTCAAAAGAACTGATTTGTAATTACATATATATATATAATTAAAGGAAGGATAACAAACTAAAAAAGACCTTTGTGGTCAAGAATTTTGCGCATTGAGCTGCAAAAATTAGAAAACAAGGTAAAAAGAATATTCTTAATGCTTCCTCTAAAAAGTGGCTTTGATACTGTGGTTCCAGTAACGTAAGTAAAAGTGCAATGAAAATTGTAAATACAAAATAAACAAAGTTATCACTAGAATACTTACAAATAAGAAGCGTATTAAAAACTCAAATCTAATTGAAAGTAGCATGTTGATTAAAGTAAGGCAAGCTTTAAACAATTAAAAAAAATTGTGATATAACACTTGAGCAAAAATACAAAAAACAAAAAAGCGGTAAATGGTAAATTAGCCCAATTCGAATATCATTATTGACTCTTCAGGGGAAATACATAATGATTTTGGAATCCAGCTAATTCCATATCGCGTTTCGTCAAAACAGACAATTGAAACTGTACACGAAACTTTTTGAATATTAACTGAAAAAAAACTTAGACAAAAACTTTAATCTCAGTTCTCTGTTTCATTTCTTGACGCGTCCGCTTAAAAATGCAAATGAAAAAATACATCAATGGTGTAAAACAAAACTATACAGATTGTCCTGGTTAGGCAAATGTATAAAATAAAATAAAATAGCGATTTGCTATTAGTCAAAAATACAAGATTTTTAGGGATAGCTTATAGAATTTAAACTTATAGAATATTAGCTTATAGAATAGCTTATAGAAATTTTTAAAATTAAATTATAGAACTAGCTTATAGAATTTAAACTTTGTAAACGGAGTGAAAAACTAAAAATTAAAATTAAAATAAGAAGCGAAGAAGAAAATGAAAAGAATTTAATGGGTCTTGCTATGACCAAAAATTAAAACAAGGGAAAGAAAAATTAGTAAAAAACAGACCTGGATCGGCGACATCTTCTGTTAATAGCCAAGTTTTCTCAAATGGACGATTGCCACCAGAAAATATACATATCGACCCTCTTACCCGGCTTAAAAGTCCGTAGAAATCGTATGTCAGTTCAGCATAATAAGTAATAGAACTTTAAGCACAAACTTACCATATTCCTTTCCAAATAGTACTTTTTCTGATGAAGGCGAAAATTTTAGGTATGCCTAAATGAGCCTTGATTCATGCCATAATGTGTTTATTCACTTCTGAGCCTGTTGCAAAGCTGAACATAAGTTGAAAACATTTATTTTATGTTATATATTTAAACATAAAATGACTTTAGGAATGGTAACTTTCGCTGATGCCAAGTTTATGATTTAGGAACGGACTTCGATTTCCTAAAGTGTTTATAGAACTAATCGTCCATACATTTCCGTCAATTATTAGTTGCAAGTTAATGAGAGATAAGATAGGGAAAGTTCTGTCGTATTTTAAATAGGCAGGTGATTTTTCTTGTAAATAAAAAAAAACATCTGGATAGTGAGTCAATCGGATTTTTTTTTTGTTGTTTTTTTAGCTGCTGTATAATATAAAAGGTGCCCTTTTTTACCGTTCATCATTTACTTGTAATATTTAAAGGGGAAAAACATGTCGGTAGATAAAGTGCATTTACGACACTGCATTTTATACGAATTCCAAAAAGGAAGCAAAGCATCTGTTGCATGTAAAAATTTATGTGCGGTATTTGGAAAAGATATTGTAAATGTTCGTACTTGTTAAAGATGGTTTAGCAAATTTCGTTCCGGGGACCTGAGCCTCAAAGAAAGTGTTCGATCTGGACGACCATCCAAGATCGATAATGATGTTTTGCGATCCATGTTGGAAAATAATCCACATTTAACAAGTCGAGAAATTGCAGAAGAGTTTGGCATTCATCATACAACTGTTGGAGATCACATTAAATCTCTTGGGTTTGTGTTAAAGCAAAGTGTTTGGGTTCCACGTGAATTAACGGAAAAGAATTTGTCTGATCGTGTAAGAATATGTTCATCACATCTGATTAGACACAATGTGGAGCCGTTTTTGGACAGGCTGGTTCTGGAGAGAAAAGTGGATTCTTTACGAGAATATTAAAAAAAAAAAATCTTACTGCAAACCAGGAACATCATCAGCAACAGTTCCAAAACCAAGTATCCATCAACGAAAAGTACCGCTTTGTTTGTGGTGGGACAGGAAAGGTCCAGTGTATTACGAGTTGCTGAAACAGGGAAAAAACATCAACGCGGATCTGTACTGCAATCAGCTGGATAAATTGGAATGCAGCTATCAAAGAAGAAGGCCAGCATTAGCGTCCAGAAAAGGAATAGTGTTCCATCACGATAATGCTCGCCCGCATACTGCAGTGGGTGACACTACAAAACTGAATGCGTTAAGATGGGAAATCCTTAGTCACCCCCCGTATTCACCTGACATTGCACCCTCTGATTATTACCTGTTCAGATCTCTGCAAAATTATCTAACGGGAAAAAAAATTCAAGTCTTTTGAAAGTGTTTCTAAGGCAGTTTCTGACTATTTTAACTCCATGGATGAGAACTTCTACAAAACAGGAATTTACAGGTTTACCTGGAAGATGGCAAACAGGTTTGTAACAAATAACGGAGCATATATAATTGATTAATATTAAACACATATTTTTATAAATGAATTCAAATATTTTCTTTAAAATACGACAGAACTTTCCCTCCAACCCAATATTTATTTCTCCACAGACGCACCAGACTCTCCACATGACGGCTGACATTGAGAAAGAGCCTCTTCCGTCGAATGAAACCGTGTCCAAGAAAAGCGACATATTGGATGTTGTAGGTGGAAATGGACCATGGCAATGGAGGATATTCTTGGTCATCCTTTTTTTCGCAATACCTAGTGCCACCCACAACTTGTCGATCTCTTTTTTGGCACCAAACTTGGATCACTGGTGCGCTAGACCAAGTGGAGTCAATATCAGTGTTGAGGAATGGAAAAGGATAGCTCTTCCACCCAATGACTATCATTGTTCCAGGTAAGCTAATAATCTTAAAATTCTGTTTTTATAAATAATAAAAAATCTGATGTGTACACCACATGACTTCCTTATACGGAATATTAAATTATACGCATTTTTTCTTGCATTTCATTTAAACTTATTAGATAGAATAAAACCTACTTCGCCGACATCGCATAAACCACAATAAAATAAATGCATTCTTTAAAATTCACTTAGTTTACCATAGCGACACTCTGGCGCTAGGTTCACTTAACAGTATTATATTTCGTTCATATTATAACTCAGAATGCACAAAATTTATATCATTTAAAGAATTATCTAATCGTTGCCACATGTTCTATTCAAATACTATAATAAAGCTAAAACGATGTATAAAAGAAATTAAGCAAACAAAACAAAAAAGAAAACGTTTTTCACAGATGATTGAGTATTTCTCATTCAATTAATTCAGTTCTCACTTCGCGACAAGGCAAAAATACATAAAAGCTCAAAATCTCTGTATTAAAAATTACGAAGTAAATCTTAAACGCTTATTTCCACGAAAAAATTCCAGAAAGGATTAAGCATGATTTAAATAATAAATGAAGGCGTTATCTTTGTTGTTGCGAAGCTAAGTTACTCTAGATTGGCAACAAATCCGCTATCCTGCTGTTTCAAATGTAAACAAGAGCAATGGCCGCCATCAAAAACATTATTATGCTTAGCGGCACTTAAACAATTTTAAAATTGTTGATAATTCTAAAAATTTGCATACAGATTTACTAAAGGCATAAAAACCTTAAACCGGAAGATAAGAACAACATAATTCAATCATTTTTAAAGCAAAAAGTACAATTTACAACATATAAGAGTAAAGAAACTGAGATCACTGAGCCGGGTAACAGAGTGCATATGAGGGTACCACTTTGTTGGTATTTCTTTTTGGACATTCTTCACTTTTTACTTTTGGTTTTGACTTTTACCCTTGCCTACATGAATGACGAAACACGAATTGAATGATTGGAGAGTTAGGTTTGGAGGCAACTTCCCCTTGATAAATCTGTTTCCTGCCTGCTGAACAGTCATTCACTTATGCATTTTAAAAAAAAAAATTGTTTGAATTAATTTTATTTTGCTAAATTATTAAATTTATTTTCATGGATTGTTTTTGCACTTGATTTGCTTATACTTCTGAATTTAAATGATATTGTAGATTAGTTCGAAAATTAAATCTTTTATATATTTGCAATTTTTTAAATATTTTAAAAAATTATTTTGGCTTTAAATTTAATTTTGACTTTAAATTTGTTTTTTTACTTTTATACGTGTTTGTTAAAATTTAAATTTGTTTAAATATATATAAATATATTTATGTACGTTTTGTGCCGCCGATTGCAACCAAAATACGAGGTGCACATCTACATGTTATAGCAGTCCTATATACAAAATTTCAACGTTCTGAGGCTACTCGTTTTTGAGTTATGCGAGATACGTACGTACATACGTTCGTACAGGCGCCACGAAAAATTCTCTTCAGAATTCATTTTAAAGCAGTTTTATAATTTTTTTGGAGGAAAAGAGTGTTTTATTCTGTCCTTACGTACATATATCACGGAAATACATCGTTAAACTGCATTTGAAAGAGGCCAAAATGGGATATTTTCGTTGAAATATGCTGCCTGAAACTTTTCGCGATTACAATAATTCCTTTTTACTTCGTACAGGGAAGTAAAAGTAAACTTACCGTATACACAGAGGATGTTTACACAACTTACCGTATACACAGAGGATGTTTACACATTTTTTTTGAAAGACTTCGATGAAGGATTCAAAAAAGCACGTTTTTAGAATAGCAAATTCTGGCAACAGCTTATTATTTGAAATGAGAAATATCGTCTGCTAGTTTAAAATATATTCTTTCTTCAGAATGTCGCATATAATCAAGCTGTAGATTGAAAGATATGTTTTCGAGCTTTCTGAAAATAAATATTACTATGGCACAGTTCAAATCGTTGTAAAAAGCATGGTATTAAAATTTCTTAACTGCAAATTAAGCAATATTATTAATCGGAAAGTATATAGTTCTATATCTCCCACTTCACTTTGCCGATTGACGAAATTCAAACTGCGTTTTTTATGTCGCGAAAAAGCAACTTAGGATATATATTAGATTTATATATATATACATCTTTCTTCCCACATAGGTATTTGGACACAAAATCAGGCCGATTTCTAAAATAATATGCCAAATTTTTTCCATATTGCGATTCTACGACTCAGGTTAAGCCTAGGTATTAAATTTCGTAATTTTTGGTTAGAAGTTTATGAAGAAATTAAAAAATTTATCTTCGCACATTTTTTTCAGTTTGCCCCAAGAATGGTGAAATTCTTAAATTTGTAGCAAACTTTTTTTCCTATTATTTTTCTTCATTGTCCACGTGCGGAGAAAAAGAGAAAAAAAAAAAAAAAAAAAGAGTTCATACTTTCGAATACTTTTAACAAAGCACGTAAACCACGTTTTCGTTATTATCGCTTGCAATATTATACGCAAAATTTCAAAACGCCCCAAAATATATATTCACGTATATCTTAGGAAATTTTGAATAAAAAGCTCAAATTTCATGCAGGTATGCTTAGAAATACATCTACTTTAAGGTGATGGTAAAAGTTGTATGGGTTATAATTCAAAACTTTTTCCGAAAAATCTATAAAAATTATTTAAAAATACAAATTTAAAAATAAATCATAAAAAATGGGCGAATTTTATTTGGAATGAACCTAAATTTCGAAATTTGAAAAGAAAAATAAAATAAGTTTAATGAAAAAGAGATATTAATAAATATATACCATCAAATTCAATTAACACTGAGGAGCTAAAATTTTGAAAGCTAATTTTTTAAAAACTACGCGTGCGATTTTTACACAACTTAGCAGTTTGGCATAATTTGAGTCTTAGAGTCGAAATATAGAAAAAAAAATTGGTATTTAATTTCAGAAAAAGTCCGATTTTGTATTAAAATACCTGCATTAGAACAATACTTAAATAAAATATAAATAAATCTAATATATAAACTAATACATATCCTAAGTCGCGTTTTCGAGACCTGAAAAACTCCAATCTCTATAAAGAACAAAATTATCCAGAAAAAAGCTAAGAGCTAAAAGAAAATCAAAATCAGTTAAAAATGGAGCAAATGAGCTAACATACATATAAGGCGAGTTTTAAAGGCTTAAAGGGGCTACAAATTTTTTTGTGCTGTATTAAAATCTTTAAATGCATTTTCTGAGAAACTGTGGTTTTCGTTACCTTTAAATGCGATTACTTTCATTTCTCAAAATGTATTTAGAATATTGAAAGGAAATTTTGCCAAAATATTTTACTCATCTTGTGTTCTGTAGCAAAACCTGACTTCTTTACATTTCTTTATTGATTTCATTGACAGAATTATTTTGAAGAAAAGAGGATTTTTTTTTTTTTTTTTTTTTTTTAATTTTGAGTTTTTGTACCAAGTTTGGAATATTAAAAAAAATTATAAGTACAGCAAATTTATTGCTACAGAACACAGGTAAGTACGTTATTTATATACTGTGCAAAGGTTATTGAAGTATTCATTTGAATTTATCATAGAAGATGTGGCGTGAATGAAAATTTTCACTAAAATTTTTCTAAATATTGCTTATTTTTAAAAACAAATTAATGAAAATTTCTGTAAAATACCATTTAAATTCAGGGTTTTTTATCCCATATTACTCAAACACGCGTATGTTTAATTAAAATTTAATGTATTTAAAAAAATTGCTTCGTATGTAGGCACACTTTAACATACTATCCAGAGAAAGTTTCACATCCGATATTTAGAAAATAAATTCAGTTTTTTTAAATTTGTGACTGCAAAGAACAAAACTTCGCCCAGACAAAGCAGTAACACATTGGTTGTCTGTGTAGTTGCCGAAACCGCTACGCAAACCCTGGTTTGTGACACAGGGTTGAAATGAACTTCAAACTCAAGTTTTAACAATAACATGAACTTTAATAAGATGAAAACCTTAACAGTTGCATATCTTGAAAACATGGGACTTGGGTATATTTAACCCCGTAATTTCAGAATTTTGTTATGGGAAAAATACCCTGACGCATTATACACGAGGAATGATCGTTCTTAGCAGGCCAACATGCCCATAGCTCTAAACAGGAAAGTTTTCTTTTTTCTTCTCAAGAAACCACCTTATATATCTCCCTGTGTTAACTTGCGCTGAGCTCCCGGGGGGGGGGGGGGAAAGGAAGATTCTTTCACTCATACCTAACAAAGTCCATCTCCTGATACCTAACAAAGTCCTGATGAAAAGACTTCTTTTACCTCTTTGTCCACTAGACACTTCGAGGCTGCAAGTGGAATCGTTAAAAAAGGCACAAGATTTTACCACTGATATGAAACTATTTCACTCTGAAATCCCTCACCCTCGACAAAGAACCTTTATGCTACCTTATCACAACATACTTTGAAAAGCACCACTGCAGTACTTGAAGAAATGAAGACTGAAACAGGTATTACACACACGCACATACATACAATTTAACTCCTCTTTTATATTTTATTTAACTACAGCTATTAATTATTTTATTTATTTTTCCTCTTTTCCTGATGGCTGTCATTATGGTTTCGGTATTTATAATATAAAGAAATTAATCCCTGCTTAGTGCTCAGTTTTCTTCAAAAATTGTCGTACATTTCAGGAATAGAAGCATAAAATTTAAATATAGAAATTGTGAGGATAAATGCAGAAATCTAATTCTATGATATACTTCGAAAAACCTAAATTATAACAAATTTATGTATAGCAAGTACTGTATAAAAATATTAAAACACTCCTCCGAATCTTTTTTCTTTTAATACACTAGCGCCGAGCGGTAAAATCGCTGAACACTGATAGTTGCTACCTAGGTTCGAATCCAGGCGAACGTGCAGGCTGTATGGGCGTTTCCATGGTTTTGACTACGTGTAACGTATATACGGTACAGGTCATTTCGACGCCAA